TCAAGAGGATGAAAAGAATATCCATGGATTGGGAGAAAATATTTTCAGAGCTTATATTTTATAAAGGACTTGTATCCAGAATATATAAAAAATTCTCAAAACTCAATAGTAAGACAACATCCCAATAGAAAAATGGGCAAAATTTGAATAGACACTTCATCAAAGATTATATGTGGATGATAAATCAGTACACAAAAAGATGTCTGACATTAGTCATTTGGGAAATGCAAAGTAAAACCAGAGTGACATACTACTACTATTAGAATGGCTACATTTAAAAAGATTGACCATACCAAGTGTTGCTACTCCTGGTGGGAATACAAAATTGTACAACCACTTCGGAAACAACTAATTTCTTAAAAAGTTAAATAAACACATACCATGTGATCAAGTCATTCCACTCCTAGGTATTTTTCTAAAAGAAATGGAAACATATGTCCATACAAAGACATAAACAAATGAACAAAGCAGTTTTATTTATAGTAGCCCAAAACTCAAAACACAAAATGCCCATCAACAAATTGTAGCATATCCAAGTAATGGATAACTACTCAATAACAAAATAGGAAAATGACTATGCACACAGCAACATGGAAGAATCCCAAAGTAACTAGGCTATGTAAAATAAGACAAGCAAAAATAGGGATATAGTGTATGATTCCATTTATATCGCATTCTAGAAAATGCAAACCAATCTATAGAAACAGAGAGCAGATCAGGGGTTAGCTAGGGACAAGGGGAGGAGAGGCATGATGGAACTTCTGTGGGTGAATATTTTCTTCATCTTGACTGTAGTGATGACTTTATAAGTGTCTAGACTTATCAAAACATCAGATCATACACTTTATATACAGTTGTATCTTTATTACTTCAATAAAATTGATTTAAAAAAATTAACTTGTATATTCAGATAAAACTTGTCCAGATGAACAACAGCAAAAAGAATAACATGAAAATATGTCCCAAAATAAGTGAGCTTGTCTTCTTAAATATCTACAACAAAAGATAATGCTGTAGCACTTGTCATAGTGTATTATATATGTGTGTTTGTGTGACAGGGGTGGTGGCTGGGGTTGTGTATATGTTCATAACAGAGAAGGTATAAACAGATGTCAAAGAACTATGCCCAGCCTTAGTACACTACTAGAATCTGTGTTAAGCATCATCTCATGTAGAAGTATGAACAATAACTCCAAAAAAGAGTATCATGAAATAATGGAACAGAGAACATATCATTATAAAGTCATTTATAGATAGGCTTATAAAGAAAAATAAGCATATTATAAGTTAGAACTAATACTTACAAAAATATTCACAGTAGAAAATATATCATATAATACATAAATTACATTGATTATCTGAAGAAAATCATTTCTTTTAGGGATCTGCCATTATAAAATTAATAGGCAAAGAAAGCTACAAAAATAAAAGTGTGTTTCAAAATACTTCAGGTAGTACATACACTTAAAAAGCAGACTGTTGTAGTTAAAAGAAATCACCTTTAGTCTATGGCTTGGGGAAAAATATTTTCAAATCAAAAAGTAGAATAGTTCATTAATATATTATCTTTGAGCTTTCTATAAGCTTTTTTCTTTTTATTCTCCTGTTCCATTCCAAACTTTTCTGTATCAGTGTGGATGAGTAAGTACTAACCATTGGAAATCATCTAAACCCTCTAAGGAGATGCTTTTAGAATGAAAGCTGTAATTGAGTCACGTTTGTCCAATATCGTAAGTCAGAACAGAGGTTTCTAAAGGAGTCATAGCTGTCTTAAATCAAAGTCAAGGATTGACACTTCCAATTAGTTTCTTTCTTAATTCAATGGAAAAGCAAACACAGCATATGAGTAGGCAATTCTCAAATGGACGATGAACCTATCAAAAGACATTCAGTCTTACCACTAATCTAACAAATACAAATATATAATAATAACAAATTAATTTGGAGATGTTCATTAAAAATGTGAATAGTGATTACCTCTCAGTGTGTTCTGAGTTACTTTCACTTTCTTATTTGGATTTCAGTATACTATCTGACCTTTTTTCAATGTATTTAACAAAATATAAAGTTATTTAAAAACTGCTTCATTAGTTGTTTGCAGTAAAATCACAGACAATGGGTCAGAAAACAGAATTCAGAAACAGAACCAAGAGATTTGGTTAATATGATTAAGGTGTTACTGCAAATAAGCATGAGACAGAAAGATTATCAAATAAATGGTACTAAGAAAATGAGCTAGCTAATAAAAATACATTAAAAAAAATCTGGATCCCTAGTACATTGCTCACTCCAAAATACTAATTTCTAATTTCTGATGGGGTACAAAATTTAACATGTATATGAAACCATTAATTAAAGTACTATAAAAATAAAAGAACATTCATTTAAAAAAAGATGCCCCTCATTTTAAATGAAAATAGCAAGTTACAGAACAATATTTATGGTCTAACCCTACTGATTTAAGTCATTATTCCCATAGTACATGTTTTGATTGAAATTATAAAATGAAAGGATATGCACCCAGCAAGTTTTACTCACCATTATATTGCCATCCTCTATCACATGTGCCCAGTACATGGCAGGCATAAAAATATATTAGTTGAATGACTAAATGAATTTAGAGATTATTGATGGGACTGTAAATTGTTATAACTTTTCTGGAGAGAAGTTCCACAACATGTATCAAAGACTAAAATGAGCACACAATTTATTCTAGCACTCCTATTTCTAGGAATTCATCCTATGACTAAGTTTCACAAGTGCATATAGTAGGTATCCAAGGATAATTTTTTTAAAACAGGAAAAAAATGTGTATGTTAGTAGAGGAAGGTGTGGGAAGTAGCTGCCCTACGATAGGAATCTGGTTAAATAAATTAAGGCAAATATTTGCATGGAATATGTATCTATTTTAAAATAAGATGTTGATCATTCACCATGAAAATATAGGCACAATTAATTGATAAATTATATTAGCAGGTTACAAAGCATAATATTATGTCACATAGATAAAACAGTATATATAAATAGGCAGGTGGGTATATGTAAAAAGAAAATTCTGGAAGGAAATGAATCAAAATGCTAACAACGGTTATGATTTGGTTGTTAAGATTATGTATTTTTACTATCGTTGGAATTTTCTATATTGCATTTTTTTCTTTCAATGCTTATATACTTTGACAATCAGAAATAAACAATAAAAGGAAATTCACCTATAATAAAGAAAATAAAAATGTTTCCTAACTTTTAAAAAATCCATAACTAAATGAAAAAGCACAAATCCTATAGCAAAAAAGTTAACATAAAGGTTAATCTAACTTGAATATTTTTCCTCATTTGAAATGAAAAATCATCATGTTACATTTTAATTTACTACCTGTATTCTATGAGCAGATTTAGACAGTGAATGTGATTAATTAGGTTATTTTCTACATTAATATGTCACATCACCTCTTTGGAAATTTCTGCTCCCATAGAGATATCAAGATATTTTCCAATTAAGTTTTTTAAAGACTAAACCCTGTGAATTTTGTTCAAATACAGATAGGTAATTCTTGTCATTCATAAAAATGGGTTAAATATGTTCCTTACCTTTTCATGAAAAGTAAACACTGGTCTTTTTGGTTGTACCAAGGGAGGTGTTCAGTAGCAGAAAAGAATCCTGTAAATAAAAATAACAGATATCTGTTTTTAAACTTAATTTTGTAAGTTTATTCACATACTACTGGACTTGTAAATCATACTTTAAGATGGCTAGAATTTTACAATGTTAGAAGGAAACTGGTGGCATATGACATTGTAAAGTATATATACCCTAACAGAGGATGCACTTTCAGCACAACAAATTCCCCCTCCTATCCTGCTGTTCGTGTAATTGAAAACTGTACGAAAGTATAGAGCAAACAATCTGCTTTTAAACACTACTACCTAATATTTGAATGCCCTTTTATTTTATCAACGAGGTTGTTGCAAGCATTAAAAAAGGATACGTGGCAAGTCAGCAGCGATGTTGGACTATATTAAATGCCAGCTTAAAAAGAGAAATACAGTAAAAATGGTGTAACTGACTCACGGCAACATGGGTTCGCAAACCTTGTAGTTGGATATAAACCAGGCTTGCCAGACACCACAGACAACACTTATTAAAACTGCTACGTGGAATGCAATATGCCTGCTTTCTAGCCCCTCCCCCCTATGCCAAATAAACGACTCCCCCCTTTTTTCCAGTGTAAAATTACATGCTCATAGATAAAATAGATAAAGTAGAATTTTTAAAAAATCATCCATAATTACACTACCCAATGACGCCATTTGGAGTATTTTCATCCAATTTTTTAAAAACAGATTTTTGTCATGAGGCTCCTGACAAACGGGAATTCAGGATGAGCGAATGGGAGGATAGTCCTCTTCCCTTGTTAGGAACTATGTCTACTACTTTTGTCTCATATCTAAGCTTTTTTTTTGAGTTACAAAACTATAAAGGTACAATTTTGAGGGGAATTAACGTCTTCGAGGCGAGTGTGCCTCAGCTACCAAGGAGCGTCTGGGAAGGTAGGCGGAGCCTGGAGGGCGGCCTGTGCGTTTGGTCATTCATTTGGCTTAGGGATTGTCAATCAAACTTTCCCAGCAAATGAGGTGCGAGCTAAAGGCACACTGGGAGCTCAATTTACGGCTGGTCTGACTGTAAGGGGAAGGGTCTCGCGATCTAAACCGTGAAGAGATCTTGGGGTCTTACGCTGCGCCTTTCGGTGCGACACGCCTCTGTCTGCAGCAGCGGCACCAGGGAGAGGCCTTGCCACCGCTGCTGTCGCCCAGGCCTCCACTGCTGCTGCCACCTCAGTACGATCGCCGCAGCCCAGTCCCGCCTCGCCCCGCCCCGCGCTACTGTTGCCTTCGCCGTTGCCAGCTCCTCAGTCCTGGCCTCCGCCGCAGCCACTCAAGCATCCGTGAGTCATTTTTTGCCCATCTCGGGCGCTCGCGGTCTCAGCGGTAGCCGCCACCTTAAAAGGTTTGCAGGCTTGCGAAATGGCAGAAACCGACCTTAACATGGTCTCGGAACCTGCCGCGCAGGGGGTTGCTGAAGAGATGATGGCTAGCTCGTCTAGTGATTCTGGGGAAGATTTTGACAGCAGTAGCGCTAGCAGCAGCTCTAGTTGCAGCAGCAGTTGCAGCCGCCGCAGCCGCTTATATAGAAAGAAGTCTCTAGTTGCAGCAGCAGTTGCAGCCGCCGCAGCCGCTTATATAGAAAGAAGAGGATACCTGAGCCTTCCAGAAGGGCGCGGCGGACTCCCTCGAGCACAAATTTCGTAGATCGGCTCCCTCAGGCAGTTAGAAATCGTGTGCAGGCGCTCAGAAATATTCAAAATGAATGTGACAAGGTAGACGCCCTGTTCCTAAAGGCAATTCACGATCTCGAAAGAAAATACGCTGAACTCAATAAGCCTCTGGAATGATCGGCGTTTTTAAATCATCAATGCCGAATATGAACCGACAGAAGAAGAATGTGAATGGAATTCAGAGGATGAGGTGTTCAGCAGAGATGAGGAGGTGCAGGAAGACAGCCCTAGGGAAATGCCTGCCTTAGAGGGTGAGGAAGAAGAAGACGAACCTAAAGAAAAACTTGAGGTAAAGACTGAAGAAAATGAGGGTCCTAAAGAAATTCCTGTGGCAAGGTCTGAAGAAAAAGCCGAGTCCAAAGATTTTATGGAGCGAAAGCCTGAAGTAAAAGATCCTAAAGAAGTCCCCCAGGTAAAGGCACAAGATAAAGAACAGTCTAAAGTAACAGAGGCTAAGACAAAGGCTGCAGTAAGAGAGGCTCCTAGGAGTTCCTGAGGTCAGGCCTAAAGAAAGAGTGAATCTTAAAAGAGCTCGCAAGGGAAAGCCAAAGAAAGAAGATCCTAAAGGCATTCCTGAGTATTGGCTGACTGTTTTAAAGAATGTTGACAAACTTGGGCCTATGATTCAGAAATATGATGAGCCCATTCTGAAGTTTTTGTCAGATGTAAGCCTGAAGTTCTCAAAACCTGGTCAGCCTGTAAGTTACACATTTGAATTTTATTTTCTACCAAATCCATATTTCAGAAATGAGGTGCTGACCAAGACATACATATAATAAAGTCCAAACCAGATCACAACGATCCCTTCTTCTCTTGGGGATGGGAAATCCAAGTTTGCAAAGGCTGTAAAATAGACTGGAGAAGAGGAAAGAATGTCACCATGACAACCACTCAGCATTGCACAACTGCTACTGGAGGCATTGAAATCCAGCCAAGAGTGGTTCCTAATGCATCAGTCTTCAATTTCTTTAGCCCTCCTGAGATTCCTAAGATTGGAAAGCTGGAACCACGAGAAGGTGCTATCCTTGATGAGGACTTTGAAATTGGTCAAATTTTACATGATAACGTCATCCTGAAGTCAGTCTATTACTATACAGGAGAAGTCAATGGTATCTATGATGATGGCAAAGATTACGGAAACAGAAAAAGGCTGCCTGAAAAAATTTTCAAGAATCTTAAAACTTTAAGCAGAAGTGAAGCAGGTTTATATAGCTTTGAAAAAAAAAAAACAACCCTGCCCTATAATCTCAACATTAGTATTCCTTATAGTCTTGTGTTTTCATATTTTCTTGGTAGTCTAAAAAATTGTCTTAAAGCATCTTAAGTATCAGTTTATTCTGTCTAGCCTGTTGTAGTGTTATTCTTTTCAAAAAATGTAAACTGTTAGTTATCTAAAGCATGTTAGTTTGGTGCTGCAGAGTTTTGATTTTTGTAAAGTCTTTTTGTCATGTTTCTATTAGAATATAGTTGTGGAAACTGTCAGAATTGTTAACTAAGACAAATATTTGCTTGAAAAAAAAAATGTTCCTGAAGTACCAAGGCAAGTGTTTTTTTTTTTTTTTCCAGCCCAAAAGACTAAGGTTTTAAATCATCTTGCACTGGCTGTGCCTTCATTACTTTGCTATAGATAATATAGTACTTATATAAACTAGAACATTGTATTGTGAAATTTGTGTAAAAAAAGATTACCATACATTTAAGAATGTCCATGAGGACTAAATATGATACAACTGCTGTGAGCTTGTTTATGTGACATAGTAGTCTGTAAATTTAATCATAATGAAGTTACTGTTTACCACTGAGGTGTTAATATGACATAGTATTAAAAAAAAGTTTTTACTCATCTTAAACTATGTAATTGTAAACTAGAGTTACTAGCCACATTTTCTTTGTAATATGTTCTGTTTTGCCTTTCACTGGAAATGATCACTTTATATCATGTTTTTTTTCATGTTCTTATATTGCAAACTAAAATAAGTATCAAATAAAGTGTATTGTGGTATAAAAATCTAGCATTTGCTCCTAATTATAAAAAATGTGATTATAGGAAAAGGGAAATTGTAAAAATATAACAATTATCCTGATATATTTCCCAGAAAGGGAAGGAAGGGCAGGAGGTGAATGGGAAGAGGGTGGGGAGTTGAAAGGATAGGAGGGAATAAAGATGGGGGAGAAGGGGGAGGGGAGGGCAGAAGTGCCTCACCCAGAAACTTTCACTTTGAGGAGAAGGATGAGTAAATGACTCAGGATGGGTAAAGTGACCCAGGGCAACGCTCCACCTTGACTTGGGAGGAGGACACACTCTCAAGTGTGGCTTGTTTTTTCTTATAGGTGACATCATTTTCTCACCTCTTCTGCACCATGCAGCTGGTTTCAGGGTAATTAAATCCTGAGATTTGGCTTTGGAATTAGTATGAGGAGAAGGCCCCTGAACTCAGTTTACCAGAGAACTGCACACTGGGCACAAAGGCACACGCACAGCAAATAAAAAAAATATTTTATTTCACATTTGCCATTTCCCCACCTGCATAAATATTTTCCTTTGAGACCTTACAGAAAAGAGTTGTGGCAGCAGGGAGACAGGTTTGGGCATTTCTGTGTCTCCTGGCATAAAATTACTTAACAGTCTTCCCAAATCCCATCCTATATACTTCAGTATCTTGCTTTTATCCCTGCTTACTAATAGTCCCCTTCTCATGTCTACAAATGTAAAATATTACAACCCAAGATATACTACATTTAACCAATCACATATGTTTGCATATTTAGATTGTTATGCTTTATTCAAAACCAAGACACAAATTACTGCTTTTAGCAATTCCACTGCAATTTTGAGAGTGCCTTTATTTATGAGACTTTTGCTTTCTTCAAGGAAGGGTGTGGTACTAGATTTACTTATATGTCAGGGCCAATGGAAGACTATAATAAATATGGTGTAACTGCCGCACAGGTTCCCAAATCAGATGTATAACTGTTTGCCAGACATCAGAGATAGCAGAGCCCCTAAAACTTCTACTTGGAATGTAATATCCTTATTGCATCTTAGAACACTTACCAAAGCATTTAGCCCTTTCCTGCTGGGTATTTTCCAATATTAAAGGGACACATGTCACTATAGAATACTTGCAAAATAGAAGCAGAAATGTAGAAACTAAAAATCATGCAGAAGCACACTACAGGAAGATGTGTCCTGTATAGATGGGCGTATTTTTCTCCCAGTCCGTTTCTTAATTAGGTTTTACTTCAAGTTCTTGGCTCAAATCAAAAGGCGAATGCAAGTTGGTGGCGGGTGTAAAAAGCAAATTGGAAAGAAAGCGTACTGGTATTTTTACCTTTTCAGTTTACGGGCGGCTGGGGTGAGGGAGGGGCTTAGGGCGGGGGGCGGGGGCAGGTGCCAAGGATTTCTGCGGCAGAAAGCTAGGATTGTGGAAATAAAAGCGGTCTGAGCTGTGCGCTTCAACCACATTGGCTAGTAGGAGGTGAACAGAGCCTGGAAACCCGGCGGGCTGGCATATTCGTTGGGAGGCAGGTTTGTCCATCACACTTGATTAACCAATGAATGATGCCAGAAGGAGGAGCCGACTCCTTCCGGGCAGAGGGCGGGCGTGAGAAGAGACTTTACCGGGTGTTGCGCCCCTTCGTTTTGGTGTGCAGTTTGCTTTTGCTGTGATTCGAGGTAAAGGCCAGCTGTCCCCCTCCTCTGCTCTCAGCCCGACCTTGGAAGTCGTTATCTCCTCCTGCTCTGCAGTCGCCCCCACCTCCTTCTCTGTGAGTTCTTTCCCACCCCGAATTGGGCACCGAGCGTCCACGGTAGTCGCTCTAAAAGTTTGTCCTTCTCCTTTAACATGGCCGACTCAGGTAACGAGGGGCTTTCCTCAACAGCAGCAGAGTCCGCTGCAGAGGTAATGGGAAGAAACTGTCCAGCAAAGTGAAGAAAGCGACAACACAGTCAAATGATGAAAATGCCCCTTTCTGCTGGGGTCTAGGGATACCTGCGTTCTTGCCCTCAAAAAGCTTCAGGGGCCATGTGATAATATGGAAGCCAAATTTGAAAAGGCATTGCAGGCTCAGGGAAAAAAAAGTATGAACTCTTCCTTGATGAGGTTTGTGACCCACGGCATATGTATTAGGACAGCCGGCAGTAATAATAACTTCAATGCACTTCTAAGTTACTTCAGGTTTTTGTGTTTTTTTGTCGAGTGTATTTTTTAAATTAAAAAATGTAAGTATAAAACAGCATTTAGAAGTATACTTTTCTTCAAGAGAAAACAGCAAATTCTTTAAAGTATCTCTTTGTTCATTACTATATATTATGAACCTATAATGCCTTTTTGTCATGTAGATTTGAGAGAGGGAAAATTATCAGAACTCTTCACTGAAGCTAATATTTATTTGGGAAGGAAAACGTGCTTAAAGAGCCAACCCAAGTGTGTGTTTTGTCTCCAGCTCAGAAGGAGAAATGGTTTAAATCCGTCAATTATTGTTAGGTGTGCCTTCATTATTGCGCTATAAAAATGTGACTTCTTATGCTGTGGTACATTACAAAATTTTATCGCTTAAATAAAGTAGCATAGGGTTAAGAGCTTTCAAGAACACATTAATATCGTTAACTATTGTTTTTTAATTTTGGGTAACAGGGATTTATAAAGAAAAAATAAACATAATGAAGCTGTAGTGCTAATAAAATTGTTTGCAAGTGTGCCACTCATCTTTTACTCTTGAGTTACAGGAACTAAAGTGATTGAGGACATTTTCTTTTCACTATGCTTCACCGAAAGTTGTCACTTTATTATTTTATCACATCTTCTGATTATAAAATAGATTAATCATAGAAAAATTTGAAAATATACTAAGAAGTAAAAAAATGATTCAAACAATTCTGTGTTCAAAGATAGCCACACTTTATGTGAAAAAGAAATATCTTTACCTTTATTAAAATGATAACTATTATCCCTTTCACTTTTCATTTATTTTGGAACCCTTTCTATATTAGTGCATATAAACTTCATTCTTTTTAAGATATTAAATGGATACAACTTATTTAATAAGCTTGTGGGCATTTAGATCAGGAGCATATTTTTCTACTTGATTAGTAATTGGAAGCACTATCTTTGAAATAAAGAAAAAATATATGTTGAAACATTTTCCCTTTTGACTTTGTTTAGTTTTTTTCTCTCTTTTTCTCTGTAGAAGAGTTTTAATGTTAATCTAGTCACGTTTATCTTTTTTTCCCCATTATGAAGTTTGGGTATTTGGCTTAGAAAGACCTTTGTACGCCAAGATAATTTTTTTAATTGCCTAGTTTTCTTAAAACACTCCTTATAGTTTCATTTAAAGGTTTAATCTTTCTGGAATCATTTTGATGTACAGATCAAAGTAGTTATACCACTTTTTTTTTTTTACAGCCAGGCTCATTTATTTGCATGTTTCTGTGGCTGCTCTCGCACTACTATGGCAGAGTGCAATAGCTCTCATCACATGGTCTGCAAAGGCTAAAATTCTTATCTTATTTATTTATTTGTTTAACTTTGGTATCATTAATATACAATTACATGAGGAACATTATGTTTACTAGACTCCCCCATCACCAAGTACCCCCGACAAACCCCATTACAGTCACTGTCCATCAGCGTAGTAAGATGCTGCAGAATCACTACTTGTCTTCTCTGTGTTGCACAGCCCTCCCCGTGCCTCCCCCCACATTATGCATGCTAATTGTAATGCCCCCTTTCTCCCCGCAACCTTATCCCTTCCTTCCCACCCATCCTCCCCAGTCCCTTTCCCTTTGGTAACTGTTAGTCCATTCTTGGGTTCTGTGAGTCTGCTGCTGTTTTGTTCCTTTACTTTTTTCTTTGTTCTTATACTCTACATATGAGTGAAATCATTTGGAACTTGTCTTTCTCTGCTTGGCTTATTTCACTGAGCATAATACCCTCTCTCTCCATCCATGTTGTTGCAAATGGTAGGATTTGTTTTCTTCTTATGGCTGAATAATATTCCATGTGTATATGTACCACATCTTTATCTACTGATGGACACGTAGGTTGCTTCCATTTCTTGGCTATTGTAAATAGTGCTGCAATAAACATAGGGGTGCATCTGTCTTTTTAAAACTGGGCTGCTGCATTCTTAGGGTAAATACCTAGAAGTGGAATTCCTGGGTCAAATGGTATTTCTATTTTGAGCATTTTGAGGAATCTCCATACTGTTTCCCACAATGGTTGAACTAATTTACATTCCCACCAGCAGTGTAGGAGGGTTCCCCTTTCTCCACAACCTCGCCAACATTTGTTGTTTGTCTTTTGGATGGTGGCAGTTGTTACTGGTGTGAGGTGATATCTCATTGTGATTTTAAATTGTATTTCTCTGATGACTTAGCGATGTGGAGCATCTTTTCATGTGTCTGTTGGCCATCTGAATTTCTTCTTTGGAGAACTGTCTGTTCAGCTCCTCTGCGCATTTTTTTATTGGATTATTTGCTTTTTGTTTTTTGAGGTCCATGAGCTCTTTATATATTTTGGATGCCAACCCTTTATCAGATCTGTCATTTATGAATATATTATCCCATCCTGTAGGATGCCTTTTTGTTCTATTGGTGGTGTCCTTTGCTGTACAGAAGCTTTTCAGCTTGATATAGTCCCACTTGTTCATTTTTGCTTTTTTTCCCTTGCTCGGGGAGATATGTTCATGAAGAAGTTGCTCATGTTTATGTCCAAGAGATTTTTGTCTTAATGTTTTTTTCTAAGAGTTTTATGATTTCATGACTTACATTCAGGTCTTTGATCCATTTTGGGTTTAGACAATGATCCAGTTTCATTCTCTCACATGTAGCTGTCCAGTTTTACAGATACCAGGTGTTGAAGAGGCTGTCATTTCTCCATTGTGTGTCCATGGCTCCTTTATAATATATTAATTGACCATATATGTTTGGATTAATATCTGGACTCTGTGTTCTGTTCCACTGGTCTGTGGCTCTGTTCTTGTGCCAGTACCAGACTGTCTTGATTACTGTGCCTTTGTAGTAGAGCTTGAAGTTGGGAAGCGAGATGCCCCCTGCGTTATTCTTCCTTCTCAGGATTGCTTTGGCTATTCAGGGTCTTTTGTTGTTCCATATGAATTTTAAAACTATTTGTTCCAGTTCGTTGAAGAATGCTGTTGGTAATTTGTTAGGGGTTGCATCGAATCTGTATATTGCTTTGGGCAGGATGGCCATTTTGACATTAATTCTTCCTAGACAAGAGCTTGGGATGAGTTTCCATTTGTTAGTGTCCTCTTTAATTTCTCTTAAGAGTGTCTTGTAGTTTTCAGGGTATAGGCCTTTCAGTTACTTGGTTAGGTTTATTCCTAGGTATTTTATTCTTTTTGATGCAATTGTGAATGGAATTGTTTTCCTGATTTCTCTTTCTGCTAGTTCACCATACTGTATAGGAAAGCAACAGATTTCTGTGTATTAATTTTGTATCCTGTAACTTTACTGAATACAGATATTAGTTCTAGTAGTTTTGGAGTGGAGTCTTTAGGGTTTTTTATGTGCAATATCATGTCATCTGCAAATAGTGACAATTTGACTTCTTCTTTACCAATCTGGATGCTTTCTACTTCTTTGTTTTGTCTGATTGCTGTGGCTAGAACCTCCAGTACTATGCTGAATAGCAGTGGGGAGAGTGGGCATCCCTGTCTTGTTCCCAATTTTAGAGGATAAGCTTTCAGATTCTCGCTGTTAAGTATGATGTTGGCTCTGGGTTTGTCATATATGGCCTTTATTATGTTGAGGTACTTGCCCTCTGTACCCATTTTGTTGAGCATTTTCATCATGAATGGATGTTAAATTTTCTCGAATGCTTTTTCAGCACCTATGGAGATGATCATGTGGTTTTTGTCCTTCTTTTTGTTGATGTGGTGGATGATGTTGATAGATTTTCGAACGTTGTACCATCCTTGCATCCCTGAGATGAATCCCACTTGGTCATGGTGTATGATCCTCTTCATGTATTTTTAATTTGGTTTGCTAATATTTTGTTGAATAGTTTTGCATCTATGTTCATCAGGGATATAGGTCTGTAATTTCCATTTTTGGTGGTGTCTTTGTCTGGTATTAAGAGTGATGTTGGTTTCATAGAATGAGTTTGGAAGTTTTCCCTCCTCTTCTGTTTTTTGGAAAACTTTAAGGAGAATGTGTATTATGTCTTCTCTGTATGTCTGATAGAATTCCGTGGTAAATCCACCTGGCCCGGGGGTTTTACTCTTGGGTAGTTTTTTGATTAACTCTTCAATTTCATTGCTGGTAATTGGTCTGTTTAGATGTTTTGTTTCTTCCTTGGTCAGTCTTGGAAGGTTATATTTTTCTAGGAAGTTGTCCATTTCCTCTTGGTTTTCCAGCTTGTTAGCATGTAGATTCTCATAGTATTCTGTAACAATTCTTGTAATTCTGTGCGGTCCATTGTGATTTTTCCTTTCTCATTTCTGATTCTGTTGATGTGCGTAGATTCTGTTTTTCTCTTAAGTCTGGCTAGGGGCTTATCTATTTTGTTTATTTTCTCAAAGAACCAGCTCTTGGTTTCATTGATTTTTTTCTATTGTTTTATTCTTCTCAATTTTATTTCTTCTTTGATCTTTATTATGTCCCTCCTTTTGCTGACTTTGGGCCTCATTTGTTCTTATTTTTCCACATTCAATAATTGTGACTTTACACTATTCCTTTGGGATTGTTCTTGCTTCTTTAAATAGGCCTGGATTGCTATATACGTTCCTTTTAGGACTGCTTTTGCTGCGTCCCATAGAAGTTAGGGCTTTATGCTGTCATTGTCCTTTGTCTCCATATATTGCTTGATCTCTATTTTAATTTGGTCATTGATCCATTGATTATTTAGGAGCATGTTGATAATCCTCCATGTGTTTGTGAGGCTTTTTGTTTTCTTTGTACAATTTATTTCTAGTTTTATGCCTTTGTGGTCTGAGAGGTTGGTTGGTAGGATTTCAATCTTTTTTCACTTACTGAGGTTCTTTTTGTGGCCTAGTATGTGGTCTATTCTGGAAAATCTTCCATGTGCACTTAAGAAGAATGTGTATCCTGCTGCTTTTGGTTGTAGAGTTCTGCAGATGTCTGTTAAGACCATCTGTTGTAGTGTTTTGTTCAGTGCCTCTGTGTCCTTACTTATTTTCTGTCTGGTGGATCTGTCCTATGTAGTGAGTGGTGTGTTGAAGTCTGCTAGAATGAGTGCATTGTGTTCTGTTTCCTCCTTTAATTTTGTTAAGTATTTGTTTCACATATATTGGTGCTCCTGTATTGGGTGCATATATATTTACAGTGGTTATATCCTCTTGTTGGACTGACCCCTTTATCATTATGTAATGTCCTTCTTTATCTCTTGTTACTTTCTTTGTTTTGAATTCTATTTTGTCTGATACAAGTACTGCAACACCTGCTTTTGTCTCCCTATTGTTTGCATGAAGTATCTTTTTCCATCCCCTGACTTTTAGTCTATGTATTTCTTTGGGTTTGAGGTGGGTCTCCTGTAAGTAGCATATAGACGGGTCTTGCTTTTTTATCCATTCTATTACTCTGTGTCTTTTGATTGGTGCATTCTGTCCATTTACATTTAGGGTGATTATTGAAAGATATGTACTTATTGCCATTGCAGGCTTTATATTCATGGTTACCAAAAGTTCAACGGTAGCTTCTTTACTATCTAGCTGTTTAACTTAACTCTCTTATGAAGCTATTATAAACACAGTTTTATGATTCTTTATTTCTGTCCCTTCTTATTCCTCCTCCTCCATTCTTTATATATTAGGTGTTTTATTCGTGTTCTTTTGTGTTTCCTTTGACTGCTTTTGTGCATAGTTGATTTTATTTTTTGCCTTTAGGTAGTATTTGGTTGGTCTGCATTCTTTGGTAATTTTATTTTCTCTGGTGACATTTATTTAGCCTTAGTAGTGCTCCCATCTAGGGCATCCCCTCTAAAATATCCTGTAGAGGTGGTTTGTGGGATACAAATTCCCTCAACTTTTGTTTGTCTGGGAGTTGTGTAACCCCTCCTTCATATTTAAATGATAATCATTCTGGATACAGTATTCTTGGTTCAAGGCCCTTCTGTTTCATTGCATTTAATATATCATGCCATTCTCTTCTGGCCTGTAAGGTTTCTGTTGAGAAGTCTGATGATAGCCTGATGGGTTTTCCTTTGTAGGTGATCTTTTTTCTCTCTCTGGATGCCTTTAATATTCTGTCCTTGTCCTTGATCTTTGCCATTTTCATTATTATATGTCTTGTTGTTGTCCTCATTGGGTCCCTTGTGTTGGGAGTACTGTGGGCCTCCATGGTCTGAGAGACTATTTCCTCCCCCAGTTTGCGGAAGTTTTCAGGAATTATTTCTTCAAAGACACTTTCTGTCCCTTTCTCTCATCTTCTTCTTCTGGTACTCCTATAATGTGAATATTGTTCCATTTGGATTGGTCACACAGTTCTCTTAATATTGTTTCATTCCTGGAGATCCTTTTATCTCTCTCTGCATCAGCTTCTCTGTATTCCTGTCCTCTGATTTCTATTCCATTAATGGCCTCTTGCATCTCATCCAGTCTGCTGTTAAGTCCTTCTAGAGATTGTTTTATTTCTGTATTCTCCCTCCCAACTTGCTCCTTTATCTCTTGCATATGTCTCTGCTGGTCCATCAGCATGGTTATGACCTTTATTTTGAATTCTTTTTCAGGAAGATTGGTTAAATCTATCTCCCCAGGCCCTCTCTCAGGGTTTGTCTGGGTAGTTGTTGACTGCACCAAATTCTTCTGCCTTTTCATGGCAATAGAGGTAGCTGTAGGCAGGTAGCACGTGTGTCATCTGGGAGAAAAAGTCCTTTTCTGTTTGTTAGTTGCCTTGCCGTTCTCCACTGCCTGTGTCAGTTACCTGCACTCCTGGAGCAGCCTCCGGATTAATTCCCTAAGCTGCCGTGGGTAGGGTCACCATCAGGGTAGCCCAGAGCCCTGTGGGGTGTGACAGGCGAGCCGGGTGTGCTCTCCTGAGAGCGCGTCACTCCTCTGCCTGCACTGGCCAGCTGCATGCTGGCGGTGGCCTTTGGTTCTGGCCCAGGTGGCTGTGCACTGGGAGGAGATTCTGGGCGGCTGCTGGGTGCGCGGCTGCTCTCTGGCCCCTCAGTTGCCGCCACTGCCGGCTCGCACACCCACTTCCGGGCTGCTCCGCCGAGTTATTCCACTTTTTTTCTCTCAACATAAACAGTTGTTTCAACAACATTTATTGAATATTGGATATCCAATGGAATTAATTGTGGCCTTTATTATATAATCCATTCCCTTAAGTGTTTGGGCCTATTTCTGGTTCAAAAGTGTTATTCTTGTGACAGTATAGAACTTGTAAGATTTTTCACAGATGCATTTTATATGAGAAAATGTAAAAGCGTTCAAAGTGTTTCTCTTGTGCTGGTATAAATCTTTTAAAACAGAAATTTTTCATATATTCTTTAGTATCTGGCAAGAAGAGTTCCTTATAAAACTTGTTTTTAAGATTTTTTTGGATACTTTCACCTATTTTTCCAGATGACTTTCAGTATCACTTCTTTTTCAGGCTCCCTCCCAAAGTTTATGCGTATTTTGTCGTGGGTTTATTTTCAGTGTATAGAGTCGTTTACAGAGAATCAGGAGTTTCATATTATGCAGTCATCTTATCCAAGCACAAGATGTGTTGTTCCACTTAATCAAGTTTTTTTAAAGTACACCCTTAAGTAGAATTTTTAAGTTTACTTTTAAACCAGACTTCCCAAAAATATTCAGAACTTGTTCATCAGTTTCCTCTTTAGTTTGTCCTTTGCTTATGCTGTTTTGCTTCATGTTTTTAAATCATCCATGCTTAGGCATTGTCTTTTTTTTCAGCTTTGAATGGGCCACCTGTTTGAAGTGTGTGTGAAGAGATGGGAGGAAATGAACTTGCGCATCTCTCTGGAAGCTTCAATTCAGGTTTGTCTCTTATCAGTCTCTCTCCAAATAGTTACCTCTTCTGCTGGAGGCCATTTCTCTTCTCAGTTTATGGTGTTGTCTCCTTCCTGATCCATCACCATTGCTAGTTTTAGAATAAATAGTAGGTCATCATGACTCGGTGAAGTGCCTTAAATTAGAGGTGTTGTGTGGCGATCTTGTAGTTAATTTCTACTCAGCCAGCTGGCCAGTATTTGTATAGTTAGTTACTTGTTGCTTGTCTGTCTCCTCATACTGAAGCAATCTCCAGAGGCTCTCAGGAAATGAAGATGATATGTTGGTATGTTTTCTCCTTCACTTTACTCCCTTTTATTCTGTGTTATGGAGCTGTTTACCTAAGGGGTCATTTCTTGCTGCTTTCACCATCTGCCACAGACCTAAATCAAATGTTCAGGGCTTGAACACTTATGGGAATCTGTACGTCTAAGACCTGTGAAAGCCAACACTGGCAAAGAGTCCTGCATTTGTTTGGTTCAGATGTCATTGTGACTGGAAGATATTCTTTTCAGAGTATGGCTTGGAATTGCAGCTCTTTCTTTGATTTGAACATCATTTCTGCCTTTACATTTTATTCAGATGGTTCTGATGCACAGGCATGATTGAGAATCACTGGACAATGTAGAGGGTAATCTCCAAGAGGGGACTAAGTGGTGTTCTCTAAATGTACTGATCTCCAAAAAGTTTCTGTAAGACATCTATTAACAACCCTCATAACTAATGTTCTGAGATACTAGTTTAGTGAATTTGCTTTTGGCCAAATAGGTAAACTAGCCTAGCTTTATCTATTGGCAAAAGCATCCTTAATCAGCATTTTCAAAAACTTTTGATGTTGAAACAATTAAAAACTCAATGAAAATTTCAAAAATAGTACAGAAAGGTCCTGTGTATCCTTCACCCAGCTATCCCTAATGCTAATACCTTATATGACTACAGTACCATACCCAAACCAGGAAATTAACATCGATACATTCTACAGACCTCAATCTACAGATTTCACCAGATTTTACATGCATTCCTGTGTGTGTGTGTGTGTGTGCGCGCGCGCACATGTTTCTCTACAGTTTCACCACGTGCATAGATTTATGGAACTACCACTATAATCAAGATTTAGAACTGTTCCTTTACCACAAATTAACTGCCTCTTACTATCCTCCCTCCTGTCCCTAACTTCTAGCAACCATTAATTTTTTCTTAGTCTTGAAATTAAAAAATTACACAGGTGGTTATATAAATGGAATTATACCATATGTAATGTTTTAAGATAGGTCTGTTTTCACTCAGTAAAATAACCTTCAGATTCATCCAACTTGTATGTGTATCAACAGTTTTTTATGTTTATTGCTGACTAGTATTCCAATGTGTGAATCGTTGATCTGTGACTATTCTATAGAAGAGTGAAGCCAGGTGGAAAGGAAACAGGACTGCCAGTGGCCAGAACCTCCCATAGGAAGAAAAGAAGGAATTACAAGGTCCTTTTTCCTAAAATCTGAAAGTTTAATAGTATCAGTAGAAAATGCTTATGCAATGCTTACTCTGCATCAGGAGTAAACAAATTATTCATATAGTCCTTACAACTAGGTAGGTACAATTATCTCTACTTAACAAATGGGGAAACTGAGGTACAGAGAGATTTAGCAGCTTGTTCAAGCTCGCGAGACTGCTAAGTGATAAAGACAGGCTTTAAACTTGGCAATCTGGCTCAACTCCATGTTTTTAACTGCTCTATACTACTTCTCTACCATGCTATACTACCTAGAAAAACACCTTTCTTGTCTATACTCAGGACAAATAGGACCCAGGGGAAGCAGCAGAAAAGAAAGAAGTACAACCTAGAGGCAAAGAAGATGTCCATCTGTAGAGGAAAACTAAGAATTCCATCTTAATCTAGCAGTGATGTCCCCTGAATCCACTTGTAGCTCATGTCCCAGTAACTTTGCCAAGCTTAATGAGCACACTGTTAGCCTCTGATTCATATCCATTATACATCCATTGGAGTGTTATGAGAACTGGCTTAGTAAATTTATATTTCAGTTAAATGCAGGGTTATCTATTACTATTAAAGATTTCTTTTACCTTTCCAACTTGGGTTTATCATTCTTTGTTTTCCTGTAGCAATTACCTTTATATCAATATAAAGAAGTGTAAGAAGTGAAAAGAAGCTGAAAAAGTAATTTACTCCTCAGCATCCTTGAGAAAAATCCAAAGGGACATTCACAGAAATTGGGTATTGTAGAGGATGAAAGCACAAATTTGAAGTCTAATAAGCTTAGTATTGGCTCCCACTTTTATCACTTACTGGCTGTGTGACCTTATGCAATTTGCTTAACCCTTTAATCCTCATTTTTCATATCTATAAAAATGGGGCTATTACCTGCCTACGTCAGAGAACTATTGTAAGGCTTAAATGAGATATTGTTTGTCAAACACTTAGCATAGTGTTTGACGTGGAGTAACCATTCAAATAATAATTGTTGTTATGGCTATAATTAGGATAAATGAGATTTACTTGGAATTTCAGGTTAAATGTAATATTAAATATGTTAAAATTGGTATTAACTCATTGAGGTCTGTTTGTCTTCAAGGAAAAAAGATTCTTTCTTTCGTGGATTACATGTAACTATTGCTGTTTGGTCTTCCATTTTTCCTTCCTAAATCAATAGCTCTGAACCAATTCCTGGTAAATACCTGTCTGCCTGCATCATCCTTATATTTTCTGTCATTTAGGTCTTTTTGACTTTTTACCCATTCCTTTAAAGAGCCAGTATTCTACCAAGTTTGTTGTCTGACCAAAAGTCTATGGTATTAGTAATGTTGAATACAGACTCTAGATGGCCATTTCTATGTTAGATAGTAATTTACAAACTGTTTTTCAGTGTGGAATGCTTTCCACATAACCTTTACTAGTTTTGGCCAGGGTATTAACAGGGTGTCTTCCTTTAGGGGGATTGCCCCCAGGCAAGTTCACTCCTCTGGATTTGGTAAGACTGAATAACAGCAACAGAACATTAGGGATAAAAGGGTTTATACCAAACTTTATTCTAGTGGTGGCAGATCAAGTGCTGGAATCACGTCTGGCTCTGTGCAGTGTGCATGCAGCAAGCCCATCTCCTTCTCTGCCTCTGAGCAGAGCAATGGGCAGAGCACTCTATATAGTAACACCAACAATAATGGCTCATTGCCAACTACCCATTCCTTGTAAGGCTCCATTGTTTGACAAAACAGTATCTCATTTAAGTGTGGAAGCATTAGCCTATGCAGTAGGCCAATTACATCATCAAGTAGTTTAGGGTCAGGTGAGGATCCTGGCCATAGGGACTTTCATTTTCCCTATGCAGGGGATATAGAAGATAGGTCAGTGATTTTTTTTTTTTGCCAAGGTTCCAAAAAATGTTCCTTTGGTCATTGTCTTGCCAGTGGGTTTCAGCCCTGGGCAAGTTCACTATGGATTCAGTGAGACCAAAGAAATGACAGTAGAACATTCTTGGGGTGAAAGGGTTATACCCAACTTTATTCTCACGGTGGCAGTTCAATCACTAGAATCCCGTTGTCTTGCCAATGGGTTTTAGCCCCAAGAAAGTTCGCTATGGATTTTGTGTGACCAAAGAAATCGGCAGCAAAACATTCTTGGGGTGAAATGGTTACACCCAACTTTATTTCCATGTGTCAGGTCAGTCACTAAAATCCTGTTCACTCAGAGCGAGTCTGCCTGCAGCAAGCCGATCTCTGCCTCTGGGCCCCTCTGTCCTCACAGCTGTTCTCGGGGCCCCTCTGTCTGCACAGCCATCGCACAGCTGTCCTCTGGGCCTCTCTGCACAGTCTTTCTGCATAGCCATTCTCTGGGCCTCTCTGCACAGTCGTCCTGTACAGCCATCCTCCAGGCCTCTGTCCTCGGCGCTGCCAACACTCCAGCCTCTGCACTATCTCTTGCAGCCCTACCACCCTGTCATGCCCAGAGCACTGGGTGGAGCAATTTATATAGAATCAACAGCCATGTATTGCCCACAGGTGTGCAGTGAACTAGTCAACCATGGCCAGGTGAGAATCCTGTCCACAGAAACTCTGATTTTATCCACACTCCACCCCTCCAGGATTCTCTCCTCTCAATCTATGTGCCTTTAGTCCTCTGCAATGGTCCCTGTGCAAGGAAGCTCGAACCTTGTTCTCCAGCCTCTCCATCAAAAAGTCTTGCAGACACACAGGCCAGACTCGTGGCTCTGTGTCTGACCTCTGCCTCTTTGGTCTTAATGGCTGGAACTGCTGCTCTGGTTTCAGTTGTTGCCGTTGCTGCAGTAAGATCCTATTTGGCTTCCTGTCTAATTTCCTTCCATCTACTCCTGCCCGTATCAAATCAACCCACATCTGGCTCCTCGTAACCCTCACAAGGCCCCTCAAATTCCTCCTGTGTGTAATAGGTCTTATTTCTTTCTGAGTTCTCGTTGCTTCAGCTACTGTATGTGTCACCTCACATTTTGTAATCGCTGCCTCAAGGCAGGCTGCACTGTCAGGGAAGACAGCTTTCCCATCTCTGATCCTGACAGAACAATTCCATCCACCCCTAAGTCCCACAGCTACCGGCTCAGCCTGAGTATAGGGACAGACCATAGAGTGCTCCACGACACAGGGAGGGGGCTGCTCCTCTCCTTGGGGGACTTTCAGCTGCTGGGTCTTTATTTTCTTTACAACCACTGGGCGTGCTTTCAATAAAGGAGGGGCCAGTGCCTCTGGCACCACCCCTTCATCCTTCTCCAGCTCCTCCATTTTTGGGGCTGATGGCACCTTTCCACACCCCCAAGTGCCTCCTCTGCTACAGTGCCTCACAACAATGCCAGCTTAGTCTGCAGCAGCTCTCTTACCTTCACCTCAATGCTTCGCTGCTGACATTCTCATGCCACCTCTGCCTGTGCTTCTTTCAGGAGTTTGTCTTTTTCCCTGATGGCCTCTTCCTCCTTCAGAACACCTGGCAGTGCTGTGTCTTGTCTCGA